CACAGACACACACACAGACATCATCGCGAAAATAGTCAAAACGGATTCAGGGGACCTCAAAACGTAAAAATTCATCGAAAACTCGAGGTTGAAAAAATCATGATTCCTATACTTTCCTTATATCTGTATACAGATAGAAAAGTAAAAAGTATGCAATGGCCTTCAACGGAACGAATATATTTCTATCCATTCTAGGTAGTGAGAACACTGCAAAAAAATGAAATCCGCCAATCACCGTTCATATTTTGATCAACCGACTGCTATTATTTTTAAAATTTTAAATAAGTGACAATTCTGTCAAACTAATTGTCAGTATATTTTTTAGTCATTGAGATTAAACATACATTAAAATGGGTTATTCTTGTGTAGAATCAATAAATAATGACATTTTCTTTTTTTATTTCGTCTATAGTAACAATTCATTGGTTAATTTAAATAAAACTATATGCAATTAATTTAATTACGAGTATTAAAGCAACAAAAATAAAAGAGTAGGTGGTCTTGGGATTAGCGTTCTTGCCTTCCATGCAGAGGATTGGAGCTCGATTTTTGGATGGGGAAAAATTAAATTAACTTTTTTTTTTGTTTATTTTGTTTTAAAAATTATTAAAAGTCATAAATTATTTTAAAATTTGTTATTTTGTTTTAATAACCTAAAATATTTTTTTTATTTGTAAATTTTCGTTAGTGGGTAGTACAAAAAATATACTGTACAACTCGAGTGGATTATCCACATCGCACTCAGACTATTATATTGTACTTAAATAAAACGAGGAATCAATATTTCATTTAAATTTTTATTAAAAATATTATTGTGATAGTTATACATTTCATAGTTGTGGGCTAAACCTCGAAGATATTCTAAAATGTTATCCCTATTATAATTTGTAACTAATTCTAAAATTCTCTGATCAGCTAATCTATATTTTTTTTAATTTTAAAGGGGTTGATGGCCAGCGACAAGCTGTTCGTAATAAACATCTCGTCCTTTTTGTACTTTTCTCAACCCTTCTATGAATTTCCAAATTGTAGGGTGCTTCATTCCTAATTCATTGGCCAAGCGGGTACCTGCAGGCCGGCACAACAACATTTGGAGTTGTGTTTTATATTTTATGTTAAGTTGTATACTTTTGTAAATATTTTAATAATTGAATAAATGTTTTAAATAAATAAATCATTCCTAATTCTAATTGTAACCGTCTATGAGCCGGCTCTGCAAGGTTGTTGGTCCTGTCTTGACCATTTAATGTCCTCTCATAGAGATTCCACATCTGATGGGGAAACAGTGGGGCTCGTCTACTAGGTCCTCGTCTGTAAATCAAAAAAATAAATTGGTATAAGGAAGCTAATGTATCTAATCGAAGTTATAAATAATGTTTCCTTCGTAAAAAATAAAACGTTATTTCTAAATTTATTTTATAATTTTTTTATTATATACCTGTTTCGGCGACCAACATAATTGTCTTCGAACCAGTCCAAAAGTGGTTGTAGATCTTCTTGCAAATTATCGCCGAGTACAATAATGGCTTCATCCTAATCTTCTATGGGAATAAATGCCATAGATATTACCATTCTTGCGCTCAGTGCAAATAGAGGGTTATTTTTGTACTGAGTCAATTGTCCAATTGTACCTATATGTTTTCTCATATTTTGAGCCAAATGAAAAAAGCATCCGTTAATGCTTACATTTGGAAATGAATCCTTCATTGCATTAAATGCAGCCTGTTCAAAATCACAATGGATTTGTGAAGGTCCTACGTCTGGTATAAGTTCTTTGATAATTTCGAACATTTTCTTGTATGTAGCTCCTTGCTTGTCCGGTAGTAGGGCGTTAAATATGGGATGAACACCATTATTTTTTACTTCCATCACTGTATAGACTTGGAAAAACAATGGTGGTGTAATCGAAACTGTACCATCGACATACCAAGTTGCAGAGGTGTGCAAATGTTGCAGTCAACTTTGTCTCCCAAAAATCAAAATTCTACTGGGTCCATGTGAATAATCGGATAGTAAAAAATTTTCTACTACATTAGGTTGGGCATGATATAGTCGATAGGAATCTGGTAAAACTAAGTTATCTAGAGTTGTAGGATTTGCGGGTGCTGCGTTAACTTCATTCCTTTTTCGTCGAACTACCTTTCTTAAAGCACAGTTGTTTGGTAATTTAGCCTGGCAAACTTGTAAAATATTACTGACACATTCGTTGATAACCTGACACAAAAAAGAACAAATCTTTTTCAAACGATTTTTATAGCAAGTAAAAGTTTTTAAATGTGTTAGTCAGTTTTAGTAAAAATAAACAAACAGCATATTACAGCAAATACTAATTCTAAAATACCAAATGAATAAAAATTACCTGAACTGTACTCTCTGTGGTTTCTTCAGCACGTTTCTTTATTTTTGTTAACTAATTCAGCTACTTCTGCGGAGACTGCTGAAAAGTCGTATGTGTGCACATTGACCTCTTTAATAATTGAATTATTTTTCGTGTGAATTCTTGCTTTACACCGACCTCTTCGTTCACATCTCCAAAATTTAACGTTTTCGTCACTTTTGCTTACATTATAAAAACTTTTTTGTAACGATCAGAATAATTTTGATGATACTAAAGGTTCTGGATCTGGTATCGATATTTATATTACTCTAATATAGTTAATTCGAAAAATTAAATAATTCGTAACATTAATAGGTACTTAAATACAAGTAAAAGATAGGTAGTTAAACAGTTTATTAGTTACTGTTAAACTCTAATACCAAGAAAAATTAAACAATTCGTAACATTAATAGTTAATTGAATAGAAGTGAAAGATAGGTAAACAATTTGATAGTTATTGTTAAACTGTAATACCAAGAAAAATTAAACAATTCGTAACATTAATAGGTACTTGAATACAAGTGAAAGATAGGTAGGTAAACAGTTTAATAGTTATTGTTAAACCCTAATACCAAGAAAAATAAAACAATTCGTAACATTAATATGTACTTGAATAAAAGTGAATAGTAGGTATAACGTTTAATGGTTTTTGTTAAAATTCTTAATTTTAATATCTACCTTTATGATCATTACCTAAATCACAATCAACAAACATGGTTACACTATTTTTTGGACTTTTGTTGTTAATACTCAATTTTGTTGCCAGATATTTACAATATATGTTTTAAAATTACATTGTTATTCATAATTATTTTTGTCGGACGCCACAGCGACGATATGTTGGGGGTGTCGGACCCCTCCAAGGCCACGTGATTTTTATCCGACAAATGTGATTTCGTTAATGTTATACAAAAAAACCGTCTATTAACAATAAAACTACACGTACAGATCATCTACCTTAGGGACGCCACAGCGACATGTACCTTAAGTATATTTTCATTTAAGTATTCACTCTGCCTAAAGTTAAATGTTGGATCTACAAAAAATATTTCTAAGTTAGGCCATGACCGACAAAGACAGAGATTCGAGTCATGTCCTTGATAACTATGCACGGATCCAGATTAAATCCAAAACGAAACTTAAAAAGAATTGTACGATCGACAAACGTGAATTTTCCCAAGGCCAACTTTAGAAACATTTTTTATGGATCACTCCTTAAGTTCAACAAATCGCAAACTATTCTGTTCGCATATATACATATATAAGGCACCTTTAGAAATGTTTTACAGATCCACAGTTAACGAAACCATTGATTTTTTTAATTTTATTAAAATGGCCGGGTTTTATTTATTATAATTTATTTACATATTTTCATTACTAATTGTCCATTTTAAATTTTCTCAGAAGTCTCCAGAAACAAATAGAGTTTGGGTTATTAAAACAGACATTGTTAATTTAATTAATTTCTGGTACGAGACTGTCTAAAATTTAGCCAGAGAAAAATATATTTTATCTCTGGGTTTAGCATCTAGTGCCAACGGTCACATATTCTATTCCAGGTGGGCTATCATGTCGATGATGGCAGTCTTCCGGATTTTTATTTTACTTGGTATATATTACATAGTACTCTACTGGCGTATGTCCACTTAACCGTCCTTATTCAATTATTAACATCATCATCGAATTCCTAATCCTTTTGTGAAACGAATTACAAATATTTAAACTAATTTGACGCATTATTAGCCAAAGCTACAATTCTATCGATACTGGTAGCTTTATTACAGTATATTATTCTAAGACCTACTATCTCTATCCACTAATCTAACCTTCTATTTAAGTATCCCAGTAATTTTCTTAGGGCCGATTCCACCGTTGTGTTAAACGAAGATTAAAATGATATTTTTACATTAACAATGTTATTTTAATCTTCGTTTAGTAATTTAAACTTCGTTTAACACAACGGTGGCATCGGCCCTTAGTAATAGAGATCCGCTAATGAAAGTTTGGTACAGCACGTTTCAGCCGGTGCAGTAAATAGGTGGAGTATTTCTGTCTGTGGCGGACAGAGGTAAAAGTAAATTATACAAAAAATGTTTCTAAAGTAGGCCTTAAAAAAATTCATGTATAATGAAGTGTAAAATTCTTCTTCTCTTTATGTGTCAGTTTGAATTTAATTCAGAGCACGGTTATCACGGACATAACTCGTATATTTGTCTTTGTCGGTAAGGATATGAAATACACTAATCACAGTTCATATTTAGTATACCCAATACCCAACTGACTATTCTTTTTTTTATTTTAAATTACGACTTAACAATTCTGTCCAAACTAATTGTCAGTACATTTTAAAGTATTAAGGTTACTTTTAATTAAAATTTAGTAATTCTAGAGAAGAATCGATAATATTCTACCAAGCCGCAATATAGAAATAAAAATATGTTCGGTGCCATATCTCCTTTATCAAGCACAGCATGAATAGTTACAGAAACGTCAACAACATAATATTGGTATACAAAAAAAAATGCAAAAATGTTGGTCAATGTTTATCTAAATAAGTCCATTAAATCTTCATATTAAAGCTGAGGACCAAATAAAAACACTAATTAACAAATTTCTTTTAAAATCTTTATTTGTCGTTATCACAGATTCACTTTAATTTGGCCATCTTACTTTTAATCCTTCATATATAGCTCTCATCCAAATCCCCACAGCATGCGCTCCAGGATCGGGATAGAGTTTGTCTTTCTTTGTCAATTCTACAGCCTCCTCGGCTTTTTGTATGCCTCTTCCAAAAGCTGTAAGAGCATCAGTTCCACTTTGATATTCCGCTCTGGAAACAGTGCAAAAGTCATAGATAGGGTCATACATGGTACCATCACCGTATTCAGTATTGCCGTATCTAAAAATTTCCAAACATGAATTCAGCTGATTTTTTAACTCCTTTTTACTAACTTAATTATTTTTGAAATATTCTTGTTTAAAGGTCAGTTCTCAATGTTCTTCTGGTTAGTGTACAAAGACGATAATGTTAAGATACAAACCTCTTAAGTGCTTCAGCTGCACCTTCGAAAGATCTTAACCAAATGTGAGCCGATACATCTACAGACTCGCCATATCTTAAGAAAACATTTGCAGCAGATGCAAAAAGTATGCTGTAAATACATCCCGTATTACCACCTAGACTCTTTTCTAAAACTCTACTCAAGTTATCAAAAAATGCAAAAGGACATTTCAGTACAACTTTATCCTGCTTCATTCGTTTTAATATAAGTTCAGCAAGTGTTTTCATTCTTGTTCCAGTGTCTCCAGAATGTTTTGAATTAACTGAAAATAAATTATTATTCGAACAAAGTAAAATTTGAATTTATTCGTTCATACAAACTTATAATACTTAAAACAAAGGCTAGTAGATAAAGTAAAACAATAATCATATTTACAAAAATTATAAAAGTTAATTACGGTATATTTAAAAACCTAATAACCGTTTTATAAAAGTAATTCTCTTTAAGAAAAGTATATTTTTTCTACACTCATCAACTCCAGTATCGGCAATCGAACGCTTTCCAATACATTTTGCACTAATGCGGGTGAAAACTAATAGGGTCCGATTACGATTAGAAGAACACAAGTGCGTCATAACTTTGTGGAGTCAGTTGTTGATGAACCGCCTACTTTGAATCAGTGACGTGTTGATAATATTTAACATAGGAATTGTTTTTTTAAACCAAACAACTTGAAACTGTTTTTAAGCTTAAGAAAAATAATAAATACTAAAAGTTTAAATTTTTTATTCTGTATCAGATGAGTTTAACACAGATACATCAATATTTAGATCACTTTCTTCTAATTCGGATTCCTCTGAAGATAATCCTGTATTTATCATAAATCTAAGTTGATCCATGGTATCATCGAGGAGATGTTCCTTTTGTATTTGAGCATCTTCATATTTTTTTACGTGACTACACATTGTTTGTCAATCATCAACGCTTACTGATTGATATTTTTTTCGCGTTAATTGCTTGCCATCGGATAGCTCAAAAGTATAATTTCTCCCACCCAGTTCTTCACTAAAGCCCAGATTTTTTCGATAGGGTTCAGCTCATGATGATATGGCGGTAATCTAAGAACTGCGTGGACATGCTGTTCCATGAGTACATCAAGTTTGTACTTTCGCAGAAACCGAATTTTATTATCCTGTATTATTTTATATAATTTGACTTTCGTCAAATTATCGTCTTAAGGAATTTTGTAACCATTGTCGCATGTCTGCTTTTAGGTCAGCCGAGGTAACATTTTTTTCAACTGTCACAGTATGATACGACGCGTTGTCAATGACAAGTACCAATTTTTCTGGTAAATTTGGTATTAATTGATTTTCTACCCACTTCATAAAATTTACATGGTTCATTTCATCGTGGTAGTATCTGCTTTTAGTCCCTAAAAATATTAGGCACATACATAATTAAAGACCTTAATTTCAAAAGGGTTTAAGTGCCAAAATTTAAAAGTATACATTTTTTTATAAAAGGTTCAATATACCAACCCTACGGTATCCAAATGGTTCTAAGTGCATTTTAAAGGAAATACATTTTTTGTAGTGGGATAAACATGGCGAATATATATATATATATATATATATATATATATCTTACTATAGATAGAGCGTCCGTACATTCTTAAATCGCATTCATTGGAGCGTCCAGGTATTTAGAGCGTCCGTATATAGACGCTCTAAGACGGTGCCCATTAAAAATTTTTCCAGAGGTCTATAATGACGTCAGAAACGTGATGGCAAAATTTTTGAGAGACGCCAAAATGATGAAAAAATGCATGAAAATAATACGGCTCGCGTATACTTTAGTTCAATACTATTGCTACCAGAGGCACTTGCAGCGCTGATGTATATAGAAAGTATACGATTTCCTTGATACCCATTCGATTCTAGAGCGTCCACTGACTTGGCATCGTTGCTTTGGAAGCTAATGTTGTAAAATAAATTAAAGTTGATTTAATAATCTTAGTTGGCCTGGTAGAAGTCTTAGTATATTATGAAATTTCTCTCAAGAAGCCGTCCGTCCGTCCGTCATTTTTTGTGAGCGTTTAAAGGGGATTGAAAATTCAAAAAATCGTAAATCAAAAACGAAAAACAATATCAACTTGAAATTTTTAAGAAAAATCAAACTCTATAAGTGGACAAAATGTGTTGATTATGAAAAAAATCTAATAAACAATGGGGGGTTTAAGGGGAGTTAAAACTTTAAAAAATCATAAGTCAAAACCGAAACATATCAACATGAAGTTTTTTAGAAAAATCAAGCTCTATAAGAAGACAAAGGCTATTAATTAAAATAAAACGAATAAAAATTGGAACTTTAAAGGGAGGGGGGGTGGATTTGAAAAAAATATAAATCAAAATTGAAAAACAATATCAACTTTTTTAGGAAAAATCAAAGTCTATAAATCAAGCTCTATGAGGGGACACCGAATATTGATTATGAAAAAAAATCTGATTAAAAATGGGGGATATAAGGGTGGGGGTGGAAACTTAAAAAAACATTATAAATCAAAATCGAAAAACAATATCAACTTGAAATTTTTAGGAAAAATCAATTTTAAGAAAAAATCAAGCTCTATAAGGGGACGAAGCATATTGATTTTGAAACAATCTGGTTAAAAGTGTTAAAAAAAAATCATAAATCAGAAACGAAAAACAACTTGATATTTTTAAGAAAAATCAAACTCTATAAGTAAACAAAGTCTGTTGATTATGAAAAAATCTAAAAAACAATGAGGTTTTAAGGGGGGTTAAAATATAAAAAATCATAAGTTAAAACAGAAACATGATAACAACATGAAGTTTTTAAGAAAAATCAAGCTCTATAAGAAGACAAAGGCTATTGATTAAAAAAAAACGAATAAAAATTAGGGATTTAAGGGGAAGGGGGGTGAAATTTAAAAAAAATCATAAATCAAAATTGAAAAACAATAACAACTTGAAATTTTTAAGAAAAATCAAAGTTTATAAGTTGGCGATGTCTAATGATTAAGAAATAAATTTTGATAAAAAATGGGTGGTTTATGAGGGGTTGAAACTTAAAAATCATAAATCAAAAACGAAGCATGATATCAACATGAAATTTTCAGAAAAATCAAGCTCTATAAGGGGACAAAGACTATTAATTAAAAAAAATACAATTAAAAATGTGTGAATTAAGGAAGGGGGAGGGGTTGAAACCTAAAAATAAATCATATCAAAATTGAAAAACAATATTAACTTGAACGTTTTAAAAAAAATGAAACTCTATAAGTGGACAAAGCCTATTGAAAAAAGTGTGGGATTTAAGGGGGGGTTAAAAAAATCATAAATCAAAAACGAAACATGATATCGAAATGAAATTTTTAGGAAAATCAAGCTCTATAAGGGGGCAAAGACCATTGATTAAAAAAAATCCGATTTAAAATGGGAGGTTCAGGGGGAAACTTAAAAAAATAAAAAAGAAAAAAAAATATCAACTTAACATTTTTAATAAAAATCAAGATTTATAAGAGGACAAAGCCTATCGATTATAAAAAAATCTAATAAAAAATGGGGGGTTGAAGGGAAGTTAAAAAAAAAAGTCAAAAACGAAACATGATATCATCATGAAATTGCTCTGTAAGGGGACAAAGATTATTGATTTAAAAGAAATCTGATTGCAAATAGGAGGAGTAAGGGGGATTGATTAGGAAAAAATCAAATTATTATTATTATTATTATATGATGTCATCGGCTTCAACTACTAATGGTTATATCGCCTCGTTTCTGTGCAGGCTTTGTTATTGTTTCCCAGCGCCACTTTAGGAACAGCACTGTTAATTAGAACCCGACAATGAGTGGTCGAGTAGGAAATCCTACCAAGGCATCAGAATTAATTTTAAATAAATTAATTAAATAAAAAAATCCCGGCCAACGGTGGAATTCGAACCTGGAACCATTATGTCCACAGGCAGGGACTCTACCACTGAATGGTATTGATATCCCTATGACATTTAACGAATTAATTATAAAGGGCCAAATTCAACTTATTATTATGCGTCAGGCAAATTCTTGATTTAAAAGGAACTAGACCCTCTGCATTCCTTGTATTGTAGCTATGATAATTATTATTCGAATCCAATGAATTACGTTTTTTAAAAATTTCTTTTAATGATTCCAGTATATACAGACAAGGCAATGGAAGAATCACGTACCTTTTAAATAGCATGTCGAGTTCTGCACCGTCAATGATCCTCAAGGCAGCTTTTTGGAGAATAAAAGCCTTCTGAGAGTGATAACTGCCGCCCCAGAACATGACACCATAATTCAGATGGCTATGTATGATTGCATAATAGACTGTTCTTAGTACTGATTTTTCTGAAAAACTCGATATTTGCCTGAGTGCAAAAATTTGGGACGCCAATTTCGAACAGACATTGTCTACATGGTGCGACCAATTTAAACCGGCATCGAGCATTACTCCTAGCAGGTTTACTGACCCAGCTACTTTGACTTTACTAGATGAAAAAGTAACGTTTTGAGTTTTGACATTATTTAACTTTAAATCGTTTGCAGCAAACCATTCATTAGAGGACGGTAAACAATTTCTGCTCGAGATCGTGTCATCTTTGGATAGGATAGTCGTATCATCTGCGAACATAACACTAGTACAGTGTTTCATGATACGCGGTAAGTCATTAATATATATTAGAAATAGAACAGGGCCCAATACAAATCCCTGTGGAACCCCTCTTAAAATGGGAGCCAATTGTGACTCCACATTATCGAGAAACACGCACTGTAATCTGTTCGTCAGATATGAAAAAAATAAGGCAAGTTCCTTTCCCCTTATGCCATAGTACTCCATTTTTTCCAAAATAATATCAATGCTTACACAGTCGAAGGCCTTAGTGAGGTCACATAATACCGCAGTAGTACTCGAGCCCTCGTCAAAGCCACCGACTATGTAATCAATTACTTTTGCGACTGCTCCTATTGTAGATCTATGCCTTCTAAACCCAAATTGGGCTGGCGAGAATAAATTTTTATTTTCAAAATAGTTAACTAATTTCTCTTTTAGCTTTACTTCAAATATCTTACCGATAACAGGTGTAATGGCAATTGGCCTATAATTATCAGCATCATTAGAATCACCTTTTTTAAAAAGTGGCAATACCTTACTAATTTTAAGTTGGTTAGGCCAATTTCCTTCGATTATGCATTGGTTATATAAAATATTAAGTGGTTTAATGAGGGATTCTATAGAGGCCTTAATCATGGGACTACTGAGGCCATAGTAATCCGTGCA